TTTTTTTTTAAAGAGAGAGCGTGCACGTGCTGGTACCGGGAGGGGCAGAGAGAGAAAGAGAGACAGAATCTTAAGCATGTTCCGTGCCCAGCGCGGAGCCCAACACAGGGCTCGATCTCACAACCCTGAAACAGGACCTGAGCCCAAATCAAGAGTGAGATGCTAAACCGACTGAGCCACTCAGGCGCCCCTCACTTTTAAAGTATCATTAGGCTGCAAAACTTTAATAGAGCTAAGGGAAAACTTCTAGGTCAAAACCAAGAATTCTCTTTTACTTTTTTTTTTTTTTTAGCGTTAATGACAAATTGATTCTGACTAGTTCTCTTGAAAATGGTTTCAGTTAAACCACTGACTTCAATTTCTCACCCTGCCTCTTTCTGGGAACTTTTTTTTTTCTTCTTAAATGTCTCTGCAAACCTGAAGTATGGTAAACGTCCCTCAATCATGGGTCTTGTCAGACCAGGTGTCTCCATATTAGGGTTACCTTGGTCATGTCTCGATCCATTTTCACGACTTTCTCCATGTTGGCACCAGTACCAAGTCTGAAGGGCCGTCCTTCTGAGCTACTAAAAGGGAAAGCAGAGAGAGGTGACGATCTTACAGGCAAGGTCAAGGTGGGGCTGCAGGCTGTGAGGCAACCTTGTACTGGCCAGGCCAGCATTATATGCAACAACAGGATTTTAAAATCCACAGTAGATGCAATTTTTCAAAAAGGAAATTATTTATTATTGTTTAATTATAGCACTTTTAGGGATTAAAATACCAGCTGTTTTTACAGTTGTAATAATTAAAACCTACATGACAATGACGTGCAAACTAAAAAGCTGAACAAAATCGAGAATCTGCGCCTACAATGCAGGGAAGGCCGCGCACCTGGGAGACACTCAGTAAGTGATCTAAATCCCAAAGTGAGGGGACTTTAGCAACAGCATGGGTGGGATGCCTTGGTGTGAATGACTGGATCTTTCTAATAATTCAGCTTCCTCTTCCTCTTAAACCTGGCTCTCCAAAAACTCCTTCAGCAAATTTGTACTGTGAAGTTTCTCAATGCCCGAGAATCCTTCTTGGCGATTTCTGCATCTAGCACTGACCTGCCTGACTCCGCTTAGTTTATGCTAGTGGTCCATTAGTGCTTTCAGTTGCCATGATGGCAGACAAGGGACCAATTAGGAGGATGACACCATCATCACATCATTTATTTGAAGAAAGAAGTCATCCCCTGAGACATACACACATGTCCTAAATTCCCTCATGTTCTGTGGCAGGACTTCCCGTCGTCCTCGCTCCCACTAACAGGGCCCCCTGTGGGTTTATAATCTTTGGACAGTAAGTATATTTTTACTTCATACCATTTTTCATCATACCATTCATACTTCAATGAATTATAGCTTTAAAGAAGTTTCTCTTGGGCGCCTGGGTGGCTCAGTTGGTTAAGCGACTGCCTTCGGCTCAGGTCATGATCCTGGAGTCCCGGGATCGAGTCCCGCATCAGGCTCCCTGCTCAGCGGGGGGTCTGCCTCTCCCTCTGACCCTCTTCCCTCTCGTGCTCTCTGTCTCTCATTCTCTCTCTCAAATAAATAAATAAAATCTTTAAAAAAATAAAAAATAAAATAAAGAAGTTTCTCTTATCTCTCCACCTCACAGTCAATGGTATCCCTTAAATTTACCAATGGCTGAAGGATGCCAATGACTAAAACCAGACTGCATTATTCCTTCTCGAAGCCCAAATCACACTGTAGACTCTCCATTGAGCACAAACAATACATTCTCAACAGGGCTTTCGCTCTCTGTTGGGTCTGAAGAAACAGTACCGAGTTGTGGATAAAAGCTTGGGCTCTGTGGTCAGAGGCCTGCGTCTGTGGTTCAGCTCTGCCTCAGTTTCTCCACTGTAACAACAGGGATGACAGTGATTACCTCTTAGGGTTGTCAAGAGGGCTGGGACAGCTGATGTACGTAAGGGGCTTACTGAGCACAGTGCCTGGGACACAGTCAGTGCCTGATGGCATGTAGCTATTACAATCATCAGTCACCTTAGTAGCGGCTGGAGAACCTCATGAGATGACTGGTCTTCCCGCTTGTGGATAAAGATAGACAGCTTGCCATCCACTGCTTCACTCTCTTCTCCAGGATCTTTATCTCCTTTTAAGGAATTCTTGGGACTGGTTTTTGTCAATGTAGTGTCAGGTTCAGAAGCAGTTGGAGAAAGAACTGTCTGACATCCTTTAAAAGCGAACAGAACGACAGCAGTGTTATTTGTGCATCCCCTGCGCAGGGAGGACTCTAGTTTTGGTCTCTCTTCCTCCGGCTCCCATCTCCCTCTCTTCCATTGCAAGAGGCGTGGCAGCAGCAGCTAACCAACAATGGAAAGCTCAGGCTGGCCGTCCCCAGCAAGTGGGCACCTCAGTGCCATTCTCCAACCAGCTGCTCACCTGGGACCACGTAATCTGCCAGCTTTGCTAAGAGCAATGAGGCAATCTTGGATGCTGGGTCGCTGGGATCCTCCTGCTCACTGTTTAGGGAGGGAACGGAGTAGCTCCATGGCGGGAGCTCCACGTTTCCACAGTCTTCTACACTCATCAGTGGGAGCGCCGCCCGGCACAGCTGAAGAATGATAAGGACTAGCTTTGGAGACGGGCGTTGGTCAAGCAGCAGAGAGAGGAGTTTGGACACACAAGCTGGCTGGCTCAGGATGGCTTTACCTATGTGACTTCTGAAAAAGAAGGAAGAAAAGGTACACAAGGTTGGGCATATTGGACTATAGAAATTCAGAAGCAAGAGTTCCCTAAATGAAGATGAACTGATTCGTGAGGAAGACACGGATTTGGCACTATGTTTTTATGAAAGAGAACTAAGGTTTTTGGTAAATATCTAATGAAAGCTCTCAACTGACCAGTCAATAGTACTTTTTTTTTTTTTTTTTTTTTTAAGATTTTTGTTTATATATTTCAGAGAGACAGAGCACAAGCAGGGGGAGCAGGAGAGGGAGAAGCAAACTCCCCGCTGAGCAGGGAGCCCGATGCGGGGCTGATCCCAGGATACTGGGATCATGACCGGAGCTGACGGCAGATGCTTAACGCACTGAGCCACCCAGGCACCCCCAGTCAATAGTACTTAAAAAGAAAGATCTTTGAGTATTTTCTGATCCCTGATGAAATTTACTGAACTGCGATGCTATAGTTCAGCATGGTTCACAGAGCACTACAACTTCACGACCCAAACTAGGAAGACTTTCCCTTCAGTCTTTTATTCCTTTTTAAGCTTCAAGACCAAAGGGCTTACGCAGCGTTGTACAGGCCCTGTGGCATCTCACTGAGAAGAAAAAGTCCAGTAGAAGCCAAAGAACAAGTAGCCTTATGTGTACAAGCGGGTGTGGGCCTCACGGCTTACACGGGATGGTATCAAACCTCCACAGATTGTCTTCTTTTTTAAGACACAGCATGAGAACATGAGTCAACTACAGGTCCTGACTGATTATCTTGCTATAATGAGGGTAAGGATTTTGGGTTACTCGATGCAACTGCATGGACTTGAAAGGCCAGCAGCTGTTACCAGCAAAGTATTAAAGCACATGGTATCGTTTTATAACGTAGAGATTCACCTGAATGATCCTCGCATTTTGGAACTCCTATCTTCCCAATGATTTTATTCTCCACTGTTCTTGAAGCAGAAGCATGTAATTTAGGTGTTTCAAAAGACAGTCACCACCCAAGGGAACCCCAATCACTCAGGAGGAAAGCCACTTTTTCTCACAGCTCTGGCTGGGCCTTCCATACCTTGAGAGATCATTGAGAAGACTGAGGACGTCCTGGAGGGCGTCATTCCCAGCAGCCTGGTTACCACAGCACTCAGTTGCTCGGGCAAGATGGTTGGTGAGAAGGCTGGACACCTGACGGGCCAGACCTGAGTGCACCGCCTCTGTGGAGCCGCCTTCAGAGTTATAAAAAAAAAAAAAGAAAAAGAAAAGAAAAGAAAAAGAAAAAAAGAAAAACCAAGGTGAGAACCAAGGAAGCCACGGTAAGCCTGCAGGTGTGGCGAGCCCTCTCTCAGCCTCCCTACATTAAGCCTTCCTCTTGCCCGATTTTTCTTTAACCTGCTCAGTATTCCATTAGCTATCCAATTAGTGTCTCCTCATTAGATAACATCTGCACATAAAAAAGGTTAACGATTCAATGTTGGGGAAAGACATTATTCTTAACAAAAACTGAATTCATACAAAACAAGGAATATACTTCAATTAACAGGGAAGAATCACCCCCTCTTTTTTTTTTTTTTACTGTGATGAAAACATCTTGATTTTTAATTCATACCCCCTCTCTCTGCAAACACAATTAAAGACCTTTTGGGATCTTTCATTCTCACTGTAGTTCCAGAAGTCCCCCACCCCCCAAGCAGCTCTTGTAAAAAGCCACACAAATTAGTTGTCATTTCCTGAACTTCCCATGCTCTCTTGGATCCCTGTGCCTACACACATAGTTTTTTCTGCATGGAAATGTTCTTTAACCTGTAAGAATAACTCACATGTCACCTTCTTGGGAAGCTTTGCCTGATCTCTAGCACAGCTAGTCTGTAGGAACCTCTGTGCTGGCCCAGCACTTTGCATGCACCTCAATTACGGCACTAACCACACCACAGTCATTTGCTCATTGGTCTATCTCCCCCACTGCACCGTATTTCTTTGGAGGAAGAGCAATGCCTTGTTCAACTTATGCCTGACTCTCAAGACAATAAAACACACAGTGAATGAACAAACAGATAAGTAACCAAGCTATATAAACAGGCCTGGGATATCATGGAGACATCATCCTTCAACTTTACTTTTTCAACTGGGATGGTAAAAATATAGTTAGGAAGTAGCACTTGAAAATGCAACTAAACCATTTCATAGAAATATTTATTTGGAGACTGATAGCAGTGTTGACAAAAAGAACATGAAAGGTATCTTCTCGATTTCCTGGCTTACTGTACTCTTTTTCAGGGTGGTTATCATTCCCCACCCCCACCCCCAGCTTTATTGAGGGACGACTAACAAATACAAGTTATATACAATTTAGATTATAGAATGTAATTTTTTTTAAAAGGTGTACAACGTGATTATATATAGAGATATGTATATACATTGTGAAATGATTACCACAATCTAGTTAATACATCCATCACCTCACTAGTTACCTTTCTGTGTGTGTGTGTGTGTGTATGGTTTGAGCACATTTAAGATTCACTTTCTTAGAAACTTTCAAGAATATGATAAAGAATTACTAACTATAATCACCATGCTGTACATTAGACCCCAGAACTTATTCAATATCTTATAATTGGAAGTTTGACTCTTTGACCAACATCTCCCTACTTCCTTCTCCTCCTAAAATTCCTGGCAACCACCGTTCTAATCTTGGTTTCTAGGAGTTTGGCTTTTTTAGATTCCACATATAAGGGAAATCACTCAGTATTTGTCTTTCTGTGTCTGGCTTATTTCACTTAGCACCAGGTGCTCTGGGCTAGGATATTATTTAATGTCATAGTGTAGCCATAAATTTTCAGAGAAGGATGCTGATGAAGAGGCTCTCATGAAATCATTAATTAAACCCATCTGATTATGTAATTTAATATAGCCTTTCTTTCCCCCAGCCAGCACAAATAATTAAGTAAACATGTCAACGGAAGAAATCAATGAATTCTAGAATGGAATCCTGCTCCTTACCTTCTTCTTTTTCCCATTCAACACAGCGGTTGGCTAGCACCTGGAAAGCTGCCCAGGCCATGGTGGCCACCTTCTGCTTCTTGGTTTGCTTCTCACTGGAGCTGGACTCCGTCTGACTGCTCAAGCTACACAGTCGATCCATGAGCTGAACGAGGCCACTGCGCACCAGGCACTTCTCTTCACTCCTGGGCCAGGTGGAAAGGGTTACAAAGAATAAACGTCACTGTCCAGCCCTCGGGTTTAAGATCCAGGTTATCAAAGGGGTGTAAAACAAGTCAGCATAGTTCCTTGTCTATTACTTAGGATACTACCATGCATAACTGAACACAGAAATATTTCTCTACAATGAGGATTTCCTTCATAAATAAGGAACTCCAAGTTTTGGTTTGTTCATATAGAATAGCTAAGTAAAAATTGATAGAATCAACTCAAGGTTCCCATCCATAATACAAAAAACGTATGTATTTTATTATAAGGGGATTCATAAGGTCACTGAGAAAATAAATGCATTTGTAAAAAATTTTTGCCAAATATGTTAAAAAATTTCCTAGAGATCTTTTACTTTCCTTCAAACCTCTCCATTTTGACAATGTAATATAATCCCTATTGGCCACTTCTGATCATGTAGGAATTCAACAGTATGTAATTTACATAGTAACTTTAGGTGTCTGTCAGGAGGAAGCTCATTTAATCACAGTGATAGTGTCACTGGATAATCAAAGCAAAAAAAACCCCAATTTTTAAAAATCAAAAAAAACTTTTTAAAGATTTTATTTATTTGACAGAGAAGGAGCGAGCATGAGCTCAGCAGGAAGCCTGACGCAGGACTCAATCCCAGGACCCCAGGATCGTGACCTGAGCCGAAAGCAGATGCTTTACCGACTGAACCACCCAGGCGCCCCCACCCAATTTTTTAATTTAAAAATATTTTTATTTAAGCAACTGCACTGCAGTGTAACTTACCCACAATAAAAAGCATTGCCTTCCTTACCTGGTATAAGGTATGGTACACAAAAGTCCGATGCTATTTGCACATGCGATAGGGTAACGAGCACACAGAGACACGACAGAGGTCATGGTCTCGCCAAAGGCTTCCTGGACCTGCTCCACCATCCCACCACAGGTTAGTTCTTCAATTCTATGAAACAGAACCAAAGTGCAGGCTTCTTGAACCATGGCAAGAAGAGTGACAGTGAACATTAGAGCCGGAGAGTTCTTCTGAGAAATCCAAGAGTGTCTAGGTGAATCGAGAACTGAAGGGATCTTAGAGCTCACCAGTGTTTCCCAGACTGCAGGACCACAGAAGACTACTGGACAGCATTTCTTAAGATGCCTCAGAGATAATACCCACACTCTGGAAAAGTCTGGGGAATCCGAGGCTAAGTCAAATCAAGCAGGGTTCCCTACCAGGATTATTCGGAGCCTTACAAGGTTAAAGTCCACAATATCTCTAAGAGCAAGATAATGGTACTCCACATCACCAAACACATTTAATAAGGAAACCATCTGAAACATGTCTACCATATCCTATGCAGCACTGACTTCTATAAATGCAATTGTACTAATGAGAAAATCAACACCCAAATAGATGAACTAAGTGTCCTTTTCAAGTCCACACTGTGATTATTAGCAGAGTATGAGAATCCAATTGATATAAGACGTTCCCAGTGTAAACACACAACCTGGGGTAGATTCTACAGCAATTAATATTAGTTGAAAACTGGAACTCTCCGGATTTATCTACAAAGATATGCTACAGAATATTGTTTATAATAGCAAAAGTAAGTAAGTAAAATCTAAGGTTGAAAAATCAGGATTGAATCTGAATAAAGGTTCAGGAATATGATGCAGTGCTATACATCCACTAAAAACATTATAGGAGGTATCTATGGTTAGAATAAAGACAGAACAGATACACTAGAATGTTAACAGGTTTTATCTTAAGGTGTTGGATTTACAGGTGATTTTTACTTTATACTTTGGGATTTTCTGCATTTTTTTTAAATGTCTGACATGACATTACTGAGGGAAAAAAGAAAAATGCTGCCAGGGTTGTGGAGAAATTATTCTGGAAGTGAACTGTGGTGGCCAGTGCTACTCACTGGGCCTCCTGGGCACCCCTCTGGTTGGGTAAGCATGTGACCAGCCTGGCCAATGACCCTGAGCTCTGACAAGGGGACTGACAGCTTTCGGGATGGCGGTCCCCTCCTCTAACCCAGGCTCTCCGGGATTACCACGGGCTGAGGCGCGCCTGTGCTGGACATGAGCAAGAACTGAAGTCCTGTTTTGTACACCAGAGATTTTGGAGGGTTTTGTTTCCAAACAGTAACCTGGTCTCTCCTGATTGACACAGAAATTTCTCAGGATATTCACGCTAGCTCTTTTCCCCCAGCCTCTGCTCTCTGCTTGCTGGCCAGAATTTCTCAAAGAGCTGTCAGGAGACACAAGTAGCCCCAGGCAGTTCTAGTCCAGGACCTGTAGACAAATGCCTTTTCTACTTCTACCTGAAGATCTTTGAAGCCCAGTAGGGAAGAGCATAGAAAAACTCCTCACAAATAAGTGATAAAACCTTCAAAGTTCATATCTACAATTAGGTTTTTAGAAATTGATCCAGTAAAAATAAGCACAAAAGTACACAAAAATATAGGCATAAGGATGTTAACTACATCACTGCTATTAATGCAAAAATAAAACAGAAAAAATGGAGAGAAAGAGAAAATGAACCATGTGTCCACCAGGAGGGGAGGAGTTAAATAAGACATAGCCATCCATACCTGGAAGTCCATGAAGTTCTTCAAAACTATAAAGGAGAACTACATGCATTGACATGAAAAGACAGATATATCCAAGATATGCTGAACAAAACTCCCGTGTTATAGTACAATATAATCTGAATTAAGAAAAAAAATCATACATAAACACACTTCCGTGTACAAAGAGAATTAAATAGCCATTTGTGTGTGTAGTTGATAAAAGCAGCTCTTAGTGAACAAGGTGGAATTCAGGAGAGGAAGGGGAGTAAAGACACTTTTACTTTCTGCTACATATGCTGACATTGTTACAAAATTGTGGAGCTCTTACAAAATAAAAATAAAATATTTTAGGGGAAAACACTAGTAAATACCACCATCGATGATCTGGCTTCAAGAGTCATCTTTGGAATGAACGCCTCTCACCCACTCTGGCCAGGACGGTATGAACTACTAGAAGCAACTGACCTGGGTCCTCCCTGAAGGACCATAGTCACTGGACCCACAAGGTGTGTCACGCCCCCAACGCGCACAGCGGCCGTCAGCAATTCCCGCATGTGCACCAGCGCCTGCTTGCGAGTATTCCCCCGCCGCCACCTCGTCTGTGCAGCCAAAAGAAAGCTGCTGCTGGACACCTGAAAGGCATGACAAGGAAGTCCACCTGACTCTTGGGGACTGTCACAGGCGCGCCCAACCCCCCCACCTCGTGCTGTCAGGCGCTATTCCTCTGTAATCGGCAAAACACGACCTACGGCTTGGTCAGGGTTGGTGCCGATGAAGGCAAACAGCTGCCCCAGCAGGACGCTGTAGGTGGGCTTGTCCCTGCTGTCCTCAATGGCCAATGACTGCAGGAGTGTAAAGGAGCTGCTGCGGTGGCTGGTGACGTGGCGCCGCCTACAGGAAAACAAAACGGTGCTAGATCACAAAACAAACTCACTCAGGGAGCATGCTCTGATGAATGTATTCAGCTGCATGTGGGAATCCAATCTTGGCCATTAGCCATTTACCTCTGATTTGCTCTAGTAAATTCCAAATCTTCATTACCAATCATTTCCAGGTCAGAAGGAGCCGACATGCTGCGAAGAAAAACAGGCTGCCGCACAGCGTGAGATATCACCTTTGTTTCTGAAGCTGATTTACAAGCTGGAACAGAAAGGAATAAAAAGGTTGGCATACCTGCAGTCTGATTTGTAAGGACAGCAACAACAGCCCTGCTACCAGTCTAAGAGTATCTTCGCTTTCTAGGAGAGTTCACCCACCAAACCAGCTAGCACAGCACACTGACAATTTTAAGGCCCATTTTTAAAAACCTAGGTATTAGGGTTAAAAATTATTTTAGTGTGAAAAACTATAATCTTTTTATTAAATTTGGTTAAAAAAAAAAAAAAGGCTGCTAGATTCATTTGATATCCTAAACTCTCAAACTTCACCTTCATTTAAGCATTCTAAAAAGCCAGAGAGAACAGAAAAGTCATTTCTGGAATCAAAAATTTCTTAATTCAAATAAATCCAAATCCATTTTTCCCCCCAGAGACAGCCTTTTTCCGCCCCACTCCCCCTTAATCCTAGATTTATTTAGCTGACTTACTGACATTTGGTGGCACCTTGGTTTTGATCAAGTTGGTGTGAGTAAATATCACACTTGAGCTAGAATCTGACTGGCCCTTCCTACACTATCCAGGGAAATGGTTGTATCATAAAAGAACACTTTAATAGAAGATGACAAAACTGCATATAAAGATCATCTAAGGAAAAAAAAAGTAGAGCAGAGGTTATTTCGAATCTGTCTTAAGAATGGTTA